GTGCTTATCGACGACACACGTGAGGGACTAAACGATAAGTTGGAACGATGGCGCCTTGCCCTTGAGACTAAAGGATTCAGAATAAGTAGGAACAAGACTGAATACATGGAATGTCGTTTCAGCGGCCGGGAAACAGAATCAGAAGTGGAAGTTAGGATTGACTCTCACGTAGTACCTAAGGTAGACAGGTTCCGATATCTTGGCTCGGTAATCCAGGCAGATGGGGAGTTAGACGGGGATGTTGGACATCGTGTTGGAGTGGCTTGGGCCAAATGGCGGTTGGCCTCAGGGGTGTTGTGTGACCCGAAGATTTCACCCAGGATGAAAGATAAGTTCTACCGATCCGTAGTCAGACCTGCTATGTTATACGGGGCAGAGTGTTGGGCAGTTAAGAAGACTCATGTGCGTCATCTGCATGCGGCGGAGATGCGGATGTTACGATGGATGTGTGGGAAGACAAGGTTGGATAGGATTTGGAACGAAGTTATTCGACGTCAGGTAGGCATGGCGCCGGTGGAAGATAAGATGCGGGAAGCGAGGTTGAGATGGTTTGGGCATGTGAGACGTCGGGATGCTGATGCCCCTGTACGGAGGTGCGAGAGGATCACGGTTATCGGGAGAAGTAGGGGAAGGGGTAGACCTAGGAAGAATTGGAAGGAGGTGATTAGGCAGGATTTAGGACTTCTCACCCTGACTGAGGATATGGCTTTAGATAGGAACCTTTGGCGGACTAGGACTAAAGTAGCTGGTTAGGAGCGCGGTGCTGCAGAGGTTTTTTGTAGTGTGTTGTGTTTGATTGGAATCTTCTACTTTTGCTTGCTGGACTTTCATTTCATTGTACTTGGTGTTTTATCCTGTTATATCCTGTTACCCTGTTATATTGTGTTCTCTACCATATTTTTGTGCAGGTTGAGCCGGGGGTCTCTTGGAAACAGCCTCCCTACTTCCGAGTAGGGGCAAGGTCTGCGTACACACACCCTCCCCAGACCCTACTGTAGTGGGATTCAACTGAGTTGTTGTTGTTGCTGTGTGTGTGTGTGTGTGTGTGTGT